GGGCTTGCGGACAGCCGGGGGCAGCCGGCGCCCCCCTAGTGCGCGGGGCCGGACGAGCGGGCGCCGAGACCGCCAGGGGCGGACCGGCAAGGAGCGGGACGAGAACCGTGGGCTCTCGGATCCTGGGCGGAGAGGACACGGGCCGTTGGCCTGTGATCTGAGCCCTCAGCGGGCCCGGCTCAGCTCCGGGCGCTAGATGGGGGAACCCTCCTGTCTGGCCCTTTCTTGGGACAAGCCGAGCGCGAAGTTCGGCTAGGGAGGGGGAGATGTTCGGCTTACAAGAGAAAAAATGATTTTCCACTTCAGGTCGAGATTGCACTCCTGGCTGTCTGAGAACAGCTCGGGGCATCTGGAACCCGTTCAAGAACACCGCGCACAGAATGGACACCCCCTTTTGAACTGTGCAGGGGTGAACCGACCCTCCAGAGGCAAGCACACGTCCCCTTTCACCAGCAACAGGCGTCTAACCCACCTTGTCTCGAATATCCTACTTTGTCGCCCTCCTCTCCCCCCAAAGTCCTCAGCTACGGATTCTAGGATGGCTGTATCCGAGTCGCTTCAGCCGGCAGATGCAGCGGAACTATCTTCCGGAAGCGAAGAGAAAGCAGGGGTTCTTCCCAGAGCTATCGGGCGGGGAAGAAGGACTGCTCTGAATTACAGGGTAGTATCCTATGGGAAAGAATTGCAGCGAGTGTGGATACTTGCCCCACAGGCTCCTCTATCTTTTGGAAACGAATGCCGGTGTCTAGGAATCATTTGAGGGATGTTTGTCTTCTAGACAATCCTGCCCATAGGTTTCATTACTCTCCTAGAAGGTGGGTGTGACTTAGAGATTTGAGATGATGGAGTCTGACCTTTACCTAGCCTGTCTTTGCGGCTGGTGCTCCACAGATTTTACCCAGGGTGAGTGAAATAGCGCCCTCTCCCCGACCCAGGCTGGTTTTGGCTCCCTTTCCCCTCAATGGTTAAGGCGAGCGAGCAGTTCAAGTTTGCTGCTGAGAGTGGGGGCGGGGGGCACCCCTTCGCAGAAGCGCCTATCTCCTAGAGTTGGTTACTTAAAAAAAAAAAAAATTGGCTTCCTCTCACTTAAAAAAAAAAAAAAACCTGAGAATTTCCACAACTTTCCTTGAACGTCTAAGACTTTCTCAATGTGTAGACCTGTTTGCATGGCCTAAAAGGACAAAATATTAGCACTCAGAAATGTCAACCTTTGAACCTCTAACACTTTCTGATTTATAATAAATTCTTTCCAAAAAGACTCAGGAGTCTTAATGTAATCACTAGGTCCGAAGGGGGGAGGGGAAGCCTGTTAAAAAGTAAATCACAAATAAGCCATTTAATACTTACAAGTTGTTTAGCATTAAAATGATAATATTTACTTCCACAATAAAAAAAAAATCAGAGGTACTTAGCCAAGTTTCAAACTACCCAGGCTTTAAGAAGCCAACCCTCCCCCAATAAAAGGTTAAAACAAAAATTAGATTGAACACATTATATAAATTAATTTTTCTCTCACAACATTATAAAAACATCAATAGACTTTGATTTATTTTGCTTTTTCTACCAATTAAACAGAATGGACTCTCCTTTCTTTTTCTCTACACACTTTTCTGGTGTTAATGGCAACAGATCTATCACATCATTTTTAGAATTTACTCTCCTCCACAAAAAGAAAAAATATAGACACAGGAAAAATAAATAGTGTTTATATACTTGGGGTACTGAAATTTCCTCATAATTTATTACTTCACTTTTTCCTTGATTTATAGTCTTCTCTCTGGTCTTCTGGCCAAAGAAGGGAGACCTCAGCAGTCTCTTCCAGAAGTAATTTTTTGTTCTTCCAAAAAGTAAAATGAAGTCTTAATGAATTAAAAACATCTCCTAAGTAATCCTTTCTTTTCCTGCTAAAGATAATGATTAGAAAACAGGTGCCTCTTCCAAGGTGCCTGTTTATTACTTTCAGTGAAAATTCTCCTCAATATATACCCCAGACCCTGGCTTCTTACCTGTTCTGAAAAGGATATTTTCTGACATAATCTAGCTCCCAATACAACTGAGTAACTAACTTGGTAACAATGACGCATGACTGCAAATGAGACACAGTAGGAACACCCGCCACACACACACACACACACACACACACACACACACACACTTTTTTGAGGCTTAGGAATAGAACAGATGCCAGTAGAAGCTCAGTGTTTGCTTAGGCCTTGTTATCACATAAATGCACCTTAGCAAATCGGTGGATTTGAAGGCTGGTCTTTCATCTGGAGTGTTTCCATGTGAAGATAGTTTAGCATTGTGAGGTTTACACCTACACGAATGCCTAGCCCAGGAGCAAGAGACCACCCCCCCCCACACACACACACACACACACACACACACACACACACACTTTTTTGAGGCTTAGGAATAGAACAGATGCCAGTAGAAGCTCAGTGTTTGCTTAGGCCTTGTTATCACATAAATGCACCTTAGCAAATCGGTGGATTTGAAGGCTGGTCTTTCATCTGGAGTGTTTCCATGTGAAGATAGTTTAGCATTGTGAGGTTTACACCTACACGAATGCCTAGCCCAGGAGCAAGCTCCAGACTTCCATCTTCCCATCACCAGTGGCAGTTTGCTATGGCCCAATTTAAAGGAAGTTTTCTGAATTTTTAAGTGTATTACTCTCCTATAAATGTTGAAGAGCTAGTTAATATATACCTCCAGAGATATTTCCTCTTCTAACTTAAAGAAAAAATAAACTAGCCTTACATTTAGCTTCTTTATCCTTCTCCATTGTTGGCTCAATCAAGAAGCAACCAACCATTACAACCAAAAAAAGTATCTTTAAAGGCACTGTTTAAGTCAACAGTGCACCTGGGCTCAGGAATTGTCACTTTACCAATAAACATCCATATTTATTTGCCAATGTGTGGCTACAAGACACATCTCTAAAATTTTATGAAATCAAACAACTAAACTCAACTCTTCCATTTTTCTTCTATGTTTACATGAAGAAGTTGCAAAATCAGCTCAAGCAATGCTCTCATTTAATTCCATTAGAAGGTGGCTCTCATCCCTTGCCTGGACTGAGATTTGAGTGGAGATTTGAGCTGGCTCTTCCTAGCTGACCTCAAGGTAGCAGAAAAGAAAAAGGGCTGTGTAGCCTTTAAATCCCCAGTAGGGATGGGAAAGGGTGTGTTTCATTATGAAATCTCTTTGTAGTTACAATAGATGAGGATAAGACTCAAACCCCGGCCTTCTCCAGGAACTGCTAACATCTGGAGGAACTGCCCCAGGGAAGAGTGCCTAGATATGCATCAGGCTGATGGATCCTCCCCTTGGGAAAATGGGCCTCACACCCATCCTCAGCCTCTCCTACTTCCTGGGCAATGTTCAGCTTCCCTAAACAGGATCAGAAAGCCCAGGAGGGAGATGGCTTTCCTGGGAGGAGCCCAAACCAATGAGAAGACAAGGGTTCTCTTGAGACCGGTTCACTAAGGTCAAGCACTTGTGTACCTCCCAAACCCATGACCATTCAAATATCACCATCACTGAAACTTAACAGAGGAGTCTCTTCTCAGGTGTGTGTGTGTGTCTGTGTGTGTATGTATGAGAGATGGAGGGAGGGGAAGGGGAGGGATGGAGGAGGAGAACGGGAATGCGCAGTGTCTGAGAGCTGATGTTTTGGACTGATGTCAGTTCAGTGTCATTGTCTGGGCTGAGTTCTGGGCTCTTGGAAGTAGACGGCTCTGGATTTGTGCGAGACCACAGAGAGCGTTCCAAGGCCCACCTGATCCAGACGACAACCCCTCCACCTGAAACCGAGCTCGCAGGACGCCATGGAGCCTTCCTGGCTGCAGCTCAGCCACCCCTGTGAATAGGAATTGTCACTTTAAATTTTTTTTTTTTACCATTTTTTTAAGAGTTTTTTTTTTTTTTTTTTTGCTATA